GAGAGAGAGAGAGAGAGAGAGGGAGAGAGAGAGGGAGAGAGAGAGAGAGGACAATTAGAGGACAATTATATAGACAATATTTTTTTAGCGGTGCTGTCATATCTACTCATATACCATTTTTTCTAATATGTAAGTCCGTCTGGTTCAAGCATCCAAAATAGTCCTATTTTTGAAGAATGTATTCAGGCTGGCTGTATCATTATCCAACAATAGGCGTCTCAACATGTTTTTACGTAAAATTCTCTTGGTTTTTTCAATCACTCCTTGATTCATTCTTCGAATAAGAGCAGTGACATTCGGCGGAAGATCCATTGCATGACGTAATTGGCTGATGCTATTTAATTCTTCAGCAGAAGCCTGTGAGCCCGCGTTATCCAGCAACAGGAGACAATTTTCCTCTGAACCATGTTTTGCTTGCAATTCTGGAAAGAAGACTTCTGTGTTCCATTTCTTGATGAGTCCTCGATCCATCCAGGCACTTTTCTGTCCCTTGTAGGTGATTGGTAACTGATGAGCTTTACCGAAACACCGTGCTTTCTTAGCTGTGTCAATAATCAGTGAGGGAATTTTGTGAGTTCTACTAACGTTGGCACACATAATCATGGTTACTATTTGCTTGGCCAGTTTTCGGCCCGGTACTGATTTTTCCGAGAAACAGTTAAGGGTTCTGCGTGGCAACTTTTTCTACATGAGACCTGACCTATCGGCATTGTAAATTTGGTCTTCACTATGGTTTCTCTCCGAATGAAGTCTCGGAAAGTTTGACAGAAATTTTGACCTCCCTCTTCATCAGCAGACAATTTTTCCCCTTGGATGGATAGTTGACGGATTCCATACGTCTTTTTCCATCGTTCCAACCAGCCATTATTCGTTTTGAAGTCTGCAGGTCCATCTTCAAGTGCATTGAGGAGCAGAGTTTTTTCTAGAATATGTGGTCCTGACACTGGTTTCTTCAATGCTCTCATTTTTAGAAACCATCAATATAATGCACTATCCTAGGTTGATCACTATCCAGCATGATCAATTGGTAGCATCTCCAGTTTTCGCTTGACCTCCAATATTTTGTCCTTGTTTTTCTTTACTCGTGATATAGATAATTGGTGAATGCTATATTCCGCTGCTACATCGACTTCTCTTCCACCATCGTCAAGTCTCGATGATTTCCATTTTCTCCTATATCGTCCGTCTCTTCTGTTTCGTCGTGGTAGACATGTCTGAATTCTTGAAAACAATAACGAAATTTATGAATAATTTGTCAATTGAAAATGTGGATTGAATGCGAAAAACTGTCGTCTTTATAAATCAAAAATTGATAAGAGGTGTTTTGTAATAGTTTGTGACCTTTCAATATTTAATTAATATTATTTCCTAAAAAGGGGATTTAGGCCGATTAAATAATGAGGACAAATGAGGGGTAAAATTGACTAAATATCTATATTTCTATAAATTTACTTGTTAGATCGTCGTAAGACGTTAGAAATGCCTTTTACTTGGATCTAGGGTTATCGGTAAGGCCAGGCAACTTTTGTTTACACGTAAAAAGGGGAGTGACTCTGATGCAGAAAAAGGGGAGAAGCTAGTCGTGTCGAGGGAATGCAACTAAATATAAGAAGAATAACTAAATGGGGAAGAAACAAAGAGTATAGGCTCATCGTTGGGGGGGTATAGAAAGATAACTTCTTGAGGTGAGGAGGAAATGAGGGGGACAACTCGTACTCACGATATCCAGTTCAGGGCTAATCCGAGTCCTTCGATGACTCCAGGGATTGAGCCTTCGTTCCTCCTTCTGGATTCCACGGGCACAGTAACTACGGCCGGGATGAGCTCGGGCACCAAAAATCCTCTTTATCCCAACAAAAAACCAAATGTATCGACTTGGAGGTACGTTCACTAATAGTTCAATTAACTTGGGGCGCACGTGGCAGTGTCCAGGACAGCGGTTACACAAGTGTCGGTCTCTTCGTTTTCTCCGTGATTCGTGGGGGTTTATCAGGTGCCGAAGTCCTTCGGGTTGGAATTCGGGCGCAATCGGGCCCAATCAGTACGGGTGAGTGGTGACGATGACCACAATACAGGGATGTCTCGCTGGGATCGTCGAGGGCGGTGGGTTGCCGAGGCCCATGTATGGGTGGTTTGTGTGGGGAGCAACGGCTCCTTCAGTTTATCCGATAGGGCCGGAACTGTTGTCTTTCTTCGGATGGTGTCTTCGAGTTGTCCAGTGACGGGAGTAGAGGGGCGATGAGGGGAAAATCGAGGGAAGGGGTATCCAATGGTGACGGGACTTTAGTATTTAGGGGGGAGTGTGTAGTTGGGCAAAGTGTAAAATAAAAACAAATAAAAATAAAGAATCGCCTCGTCACACGTTCAAGCATAACAAAGTTGTTTGAAACATTATCAAATCCAAGTCCTCAATTTTTATTTTAATCAAATCACACATTAATAATATTTTAGTACATTATTGCCTTCCGGATGAATGCCGCGTTTGGTTTCTGCATTGCGCCGACGTTTCGCAAACATTGCAGTCTGCATCTTCAGAGCTGTAAGCTCTGATTCTGAGCTCCGATGTTTGGGGGTTGTCCTTATGTCTTCCCCTGTGATGGTGGGGGAAGAAGGGGGTCAGCCAATCGTATGGTTTTAATTGATCAGCTGGTCAATTAAAAAACCGGGAGGACGGTTTTCCAAATGGGGTTCACTTGATATTCTCTGTCCCTGTTAAGGGTGTTAGGGTTTTTAAGGATTTCCAAACCCTCTCGGTATTTCCTTTCAAAATACCCTTGAGATTTATACAACATTCTGGGTTGGTCATAGTGGATAGTATGTCTAGTGTCCATCCAGTGTTCAGCTAGGGCAGACTGTTCTGAATGACCGTATTTGGAACACCGCTGGTGTTTCTTGATCCGTGTACTGATCTTCCTCCTGGTTTCTCCAATGTACACTTTCCCGCATAAGCAAGGGATCTCGTACACTCCTGGTGTGTTCAGGGGTAGTCTTGGATCCTTTGCACTCGGCAGCATCTGTCCGATGTTCTTTGGGGGTTGGAAGATCGTTCGGATATTATGTTTTCCGAGTACTTTACTTATACGTTCTGTGGTGCCTCTCAGATATGAGAAGAGGGCCACTTTAGGTCTTTCCTGCTTTTCCTCAGGAACAGTCTCCTTTCGGGGAGCAGACAGCTTGCTCTGTAGCTTATGCTTGACCTTTCGAATTTTATGGATGTTATATCCATTCTTGGTCAGAGCTGTCTCAAGATGTTTAACTTCACTGTCGACGTTGGAGGGTTGGGAGATTGTGAGTGCTATACATTAGGGAGCTAGTTTGAGAGGGGTGGTGATGGAAATTGGCATTCACATACCTATCTGTGTGAGTTGGTTTGCGATATACTTGGTGACCTAGAGTACCATCCTCGTCGCGTCGAACCAGCACACCTATAAATGAAAGACATCTGTCCTGCTCAGTTTCCATGGTGAACTTGATACTTGCGTGCAGAGTGTTCAAGAACTCCAGGAACTGAGTTAGAGCAGTCTCCATGTGACCAGATGACAAAGGTGTCATCCACATACCTGAATCACACAGTTGGTTTCTGAGACGCTGACTTTAATACTTCGTTCTCAAAATTTTCCATGAATATATTTGGAATAATCGGGGAGTTGGGAGAACCCATTGCTGCTCCCGATTTTTGCTCATAGTACTCTCCTTCGAACTGAAAGTATGTAGAAGTCAAGCAGTGCTCAATTAAGGGAAGGAATCGGGGGGAAATGTCTTTGGATTTTTTGATGATTTCTAAGATTTCTGGGATTGGGACGTTAGTGAAAAGTAATTCTACATCAAAACTCACTAGAATATCATTGGGTGAAGTCCTGAGATTTCTCAGTTTGTTGACGAAATCCAGTGAGTTCTGAATGTGCGAATATCTCAGATCAGTCAACTTTTGGAGTGATTTCGTAAGAAACTTAGCCAGCTGGTAAGTTGGCGCTCCAATGTTGCTAACAATAGGACGGAGAGGAACAGACTCTTTGTGGATTTTGAAGAGTCCATAGAGTCTGGGAGGAAAGGATTCTTTAGGAGTAAGGAATTTCGTCAGGTCCACCGAGAGATCAGCTTTCTTCAGGAGATCAGTACTTTTACGCTCAATTGTACGAGTAGGATCCTTCCTGAGTTTTATGTAAACTCTGGAATCACTCAACATCTCACTGAGCTTCCCGGAGTAGTCGTCCTTATCCATAACCACCGTGGCATTGCCTTTGTCGGCCGGAAGAATAATGAGATCATTATTCTCCTTTAGACTACGCAGTGGAAGACGTTCCTCCCTGGTGATGTTGTCACTAGGTAGAGTAGCCTTGTGGAGGATGTTGGATAACTGCCTCCGGATCTCATCACTGGTCTCCGAAGGAAGATGGTAGATCGCTGTCTCGATCCGACTGATAATTTCCTTAGTAGGGATCTTCTGGGGGGCAACAGCGAAGTTGTGTCCTTTCGCCAACACAGACACTTGTGCTTCACTGAACTCGTATTTGCTCAGATTCTTCACAGTGTGAGTGAGGGTTGGGACTTTCTTCTGCGGGATCAGCTTCTTGAACTTAACCTTCTGACTCTCAATTCTCATCTCAGCTGTTCGGACTGCTTGTTCATAAGTAACACGATCAAGAGTCTCCCACAGCTGAGACTCTAACGTCTGAACCAGGAGAAGGTGAAGATCGAGAAGCTGTCTGGAAAGATGGTCCGAGTTCTTCTTAGTCGCTGTTATTCTTTCCTTGACCAGTCTCAGCGAAGCTTGGCGGAGGATGGCATTTGCCTGCTTCGAGGGAACAGGGTTCTTCAGACGGAGGAATTTTGGTACCACTTGATGGTCACGGCACCTTTTCAAAAAGGTTAGGGAGCACAGTTGGACGTGCAAGGACTTNGTAATTCCCATCGCCACCCCTCCCAAAAGAACTCTGTCATTAGCTTCCTATGGTATAGATCACTTACAATCTCCCAACCCTCCAACGTCGATAGTGAAGTGGAACATCTTGAGACAGCTCTGACCAAGAATGGATATAACATCCATCAAATNGCGGCCATTATTAATGACATTATTGGTTTCCGGATGGATGCCACGTTGGGTTTCAGCATTGCGCCGACGTTTCGCAAACATTGCAGTTTGCATCTTCAGGGCTATGAGCTCCGATTCTGAGCTTCGATGTTCGGGGGTTGTCCTTATATGTCTTCCCCTGTGATGGTGGGGGAAGGGGAGGGGGGTCAGCCAATCGTATGGTTTTAATTGATCAGGATACGTTCAAGAATCAGATCCCCCAGGAGAAAGTCCCAACCNAGAAAGGTCAAGCATAAGCTACAGAGCAAGCTCTCTGTTCCCCGAGATGTGACTGATCCTGAGGAAAAGCAGGAAAGACCTAAAGTGGCCCTCCTCCCCTATCTGAGAGGTACAACAGAACGCATAANTCGATGTTCGGGGGTTGTCCTTATATGTCTTCCCCTGTGATGGTGGGGGAAGGGGAGGGGGGTCAGCCAATCGTATGGTTTTAATTGATCAGGATACGTTCAAGAATCAGATCCCCCAGGAGAAAGTCCCAACCCTTTCTCACACTGTGAAGAATCTGAGCAAA